CGCGGTGGCCGGCCAGCAGGCCGGGTTGGATACGCAGCCGCTCCAGTCCTCTGCCTCCCTGGACAGCAGCTCCGTCCTACCCAGCCCCTCTACCTCCTTCGAGCCCATCAAGCCCGACCCGACAGGAAGTGAGTACGCACCCCTCGTTACACGTAGGGTCGTTCCCTTTCGATCCCATCGGTAGCGTGAGGTCTGATTTTTGAGACTGCATGAAGCTGGAGAATTTCTGGCCGTCACGGAGACGCCTTTCTAACTCCCGGGGAGTTTTCCTTTGTAGGGAGAGCTCTTGTCTCTCTTTTCCTCCTCTACTCAGGAATACTTAACTGATGTTAAGATGACAATAGTCATCTTGTGGTCTTAACAATCCCGCAGTGTATGTTTTGGGAGCTCCTTGCATGGGTGAGATGAAATGAGCTTTCAAAAAGGGGTGTTTGAGCTTTATGCCAGGAAATAGCAGGCTGGCCTGAGGATGGAAAAGCACCCTCTAGGTAAGACATGCTGCTTTAAAGTTCTGAAGCCTGCCTTCGCTGCAGAAACGCTCTAGCTTAGAGGGTTATGGTTAGAAGAGGAAAACTTGTTCCGATGTAGCTCACACAGCCAAAGGAGGCTTATTTTTAAGTCTTTTATCGCTTACTATTTCAGCAGAACTATGAGACGTGGGGTGTGGGCGCAGTTTCTGACTGGCGTAGGAGCGTTGGGGGTGCCTAAGGAGCACAGTAGGGCAGCGGGTGATTATGCTGTAAACCACTTGAGGCTCCTCACGTCACCATTCGATTGGTTTGTCTTTGCAGTCCTGGAACTTCCCAAAGAGCTGTCAGAGATGTTTGACCCAACGAGAGGTATGTTCGCTCCCCGACCGCAGCTTTCATCTGTGCCCGTCTACCCACAGAAGTGGGACAGCTCCTTCCATTCGCTCCCTCCCTTTTTTTTGGATTGCTTCGGGCTCGCGGTTTTCGTAAGGTGCTTGTGGTTGCTGCTGGCTCTCCGCTTGTCATTTGGCGCTCTTGAAATTACTGCTCTCTGGGTGTGTTTTTCCGTCGTCGCGTTGCCAGCAGCCTCTGTTGAGAGTTCGCGGGCGAGGGCTTCCCTGTCCCTGTGCCAGCACTAATCCCTGCTCTGGCTTCCCCTGCTCCTTCTCCAGCTTGTCTGCACCGTGTAAAAGGAGAATCCCCAATAGTCCCGTTTCAGCTGCAGCAGCCTCTTGGGTCCCAGTGGCTGCTTTAAAGCTTTGCAGTTTAACCTGCAGGAGCCTGGAGTTCTTCCTTTGTGTTTTGTATTGGAATCACTTTTTTTCTGCCTGGTTTTCTCTCTCTCTTAAATGGATGCGTAATAACTGCTTGTTTTAAACCCGTATCCTGGAAAAAACACACACGAATTTCGACACACGCGTGCACCCTGCTCTGTTACCAGCCCTGATCTAAGAATGCAGCTTTTGCATTTAATACCTATTTATTGAAGCTGGCGTCAGTCCAGTCGGGGCGCTCGGTGTTGAAATTCTCTCATCTCATGGCACAGAGGTAGGCAGGTTCCTCTGAGGAAATAACCTGCTGTGGCCAAGTGTCTTGAAAACGGGCTCATCTGAGCTTCTTTCAAGCTTATTTCAAACCTGGGTGTATCTCATCAGCTCGGTTAGACCTGAGTTCGATATTTATCTTGGTGAAGTGAGGGAGGTATTCAGGAAGTTGTTTCCAAGCTTGGCCTCTTAAAGAAAAGAGGCTGACAGGCATGTGCTGCAGTTGGGGTCTCATCTCTTTACCCATCAAATGTCTCATTTCAGAGAATTAATTAATTTATTTTTTTTATGGTTTTATGTGGGCAGGAGAGGGAGGAGCAGAGCTAACGGCACATTAATGTTTTTATTTCCCACTCTTAGCAAAGTCGTTGGGTAGTTGAGGACTCTGAACACGTTGGGCTTTACCAGCTCTGTTTCAGGCACGCGTTGGAGACTTTCTTTTGGAGGAGTTTGGATCTCCAGCTCGTGGGCTGGTGTGGGGGCGAAGCCCAGCCCGTCACGGAGGAGCCTGGTTGAGCTAAAGCAGGCAGAAACCCCCCTTGCAGCATGTCTGCATGTAGCTTGAGCCACCTGAAACCGATTTTCCCAGGCCTGAGCATCCTTTGGCCGCTGCCCGCCGCGCGTTTAGCCAGAGGAGGGGTGACGAGGTTGAGGACGCGGGAGGAGGCCGGGAGAGCAGAGCGCCTTGCTTACCCATGCTTGTCTCTTCCCCAGAATGCATGAACTCCGAGCTGCTGGAGGAGCTGATGTCCTCTGAAGGTGAGTCGTTGAGTCTCCTCCTCCCAGCACGGCCTTTCTGCGGGGGGAGGACGCCCACGGCGTGTGAC